TTTGTTCAAACTGAGCAACAACCTTATTCTGAACAAATAGTGTTTTCCTCAAAATTGTTTCAGAAATGACCCATTCCAAATATTGCAAAGCCATAATATTCACTCGATTCAGAAGAATACGACACCCGGCTATAGATTTATCTTCAATGACTAGGACACTCTCACCTCGATATAACATACTAGTGAGTAGCATAGAGTCTGTCTCCAAAAATGTTTGTTGTTTGTTATTCGTTGATGATGATAATATGAATGATAAAATGTGTCCCATCAAGGAATAAATCCGTTTTAAAAAATCTGGAGAAATACTAACGTAGCGTGATGGAGTTATAATATGAATATAAACGTTGAAATCGTTTTCCGGGTCCAAGCCAATGTTGAATCCAGTTTGATCGATGAGATTGCTCGGAGATTCGGGTGCGACGTATCGAAACTTTTTGTATACTGCAGCGTAGTTGTTGGCGATTGAACCAGCCATGTTTAATTTACTTGGTAAATTTTTAAGAGTAGAACACGGGCAGACAGACAAGTATTACTTGTAGCGATTCAAGTACGACTGATTCAGTCGATTCATTTGTAGTAACTTATTGGTGTAATTTTTCTTTATTATAAGAGGGGAATGTTCAATTATATTTTTCGAATTAATTAATTATTTATCCAGTGATTTGTATTTTCCTAATTATACCCGTACTCAAGCTGGTATGCTAATTTTTATTTGATTTTCTTTAATTATACATGAATATAATCGCTTTCTAAGTATTGGTCAGCTAATATTCCTGGGAACGCTGCGTTGGGGTGGGCAGCGGTGTCTGTAGTAGTGGGGTGGGAAGTTTGAGGTATTACGGGTTGCTTGAGAGGATAATATTATGAGGGGGTATGCCTATTTACTTTGACACTAGTCAACTCATTTAGATTGGGTGGGGGGGAGAGGCAGTTAAGGTAGCGGTAGTGGGGGGGGGGGGGGGGAGGGGACAGTTAAGGAGCGGTAGTGGGGGAGGGGGCATAGATGTTCGGTGGTAACGGCGGTGGTAGCGGCTGCGGTGGCGGTGGCGGTGGTGCCAGAAACCCCCAATTTATACTACTATTATTTTTCAATAAATAATATTTTATTATATTGTTATCTATTACTTCTATTGAAAATACATTTATGGCACTAGAAAGACATTTTATTTCTACTGATTCATCATTTCCGTTCAGTTCATCTGGGGAGGCAGTTAAGTAGTAGTTAAATGCAAAGAACAACTTGTGAAATATTTTGTATTCTATTTGTAAACCTTAAGTATTAATCCTTAAATTTTAATTAATTTTTAACTATACGAAGATGATTCATTTGAATACGTTTTGTCGAGTATAAAAATGTAAAATCTAAGAGAACCAGGGCCGTCCCAAAGATGAAAATCAAAGGGGGGGAGGTGAATAATATGAAAAATGCTGACTATAATTTTTTTTACTTTATGTATGTAGTCGTATTTTTACTTTTTAACATGTATATGTTACACTAGTGGAGGAGTATGGCTAATCTCAAGTTTAGCCACTGCATTTAGCTAATATCTAAATTTCGGGCTTTATCCACCAATATTTAACATTATCCAAATGCATATAGCTAATGTCTAAATAACATTGTCCATACAAATAATTAAACTGTTTATGTCCAACAAAAATTGTTTCATTTCTTCTCTTATTCAATAATATTTAATAATATCATAAATTGTGAAAAATTTTTATTTATAATTGAGTACTATTATTATTAAGAATTATTTAGTCAATAATAATATATACCTAGTTTTATTATATAGATTTACGGCCATTTTTCAATGTAATTCATGGGTGGCATGACTATTTTTACTCAATAGTTTAAAGACGGTTGAATACTTTTCCCGAGAACGGTTGGACCCCTATCAATAGTTAATACCGAGATAAATATTATGGTCTCCAGGTCCGTGCGCAAGGGGTGGGGGGGGGGGGGTCAAACCCCCCCCCATGGCCGAAAAAATCGTCTTTTTCATTTTTGATCTGTTACCTATATGTAATATTTTCTAATCATATTTGTAATAAATAATAATGCAAAACATAATACTATAATAATATAATAGTACAATAATACTACCTATAATAATATAATGTAGTGTTGTCTTCACGTTTACTGTTTATCGACTTTCGTCATCGTTGCCGTTATCGATAAAATGTAATGACAATAAAATGTTTAAACATAAGTATAGAGCATACACGTCGCACAATAATATTTTATTCGACTGCAATTAGTAGAACACGAGATTATACGATAATGGATTTCAGGTATTTTAAAAGTTGTTTATAATCATAGTTCATAGTGTTCATACACAACGATTGTAAGCTCACAGTGAGACGTTCACGTTCGTTAAACAAACACGCCGTTAGAAATAATATTAAATTTTAATGATCAAAATGGACATTCGACATTTTTTCAAAAAACCACGTCTAGAAAATGATGAGATAGTAAGTACATTAAAATTAATTATAATTACTATTAATTCGATACTAATAATCCAAATCATTTTTAAAAATTAAATTGGATTATTATTATATTATAGTCAGTATAGAGATATGTTTATTTTTCGCGCGTGCTATAGAACATAATATAGTCATCCCGTTTGTGATTTGAAATCTATTGTTAATTGATGTTAAAATATTTTGTATACCACATTTTATTAAATGCAATATTTAAATCTATAAACACAATTATGAATTATTCTATTAATCTGATTATTTTTCACATTTTATTTACAGGAAAATAGTTTTAATAACCAGTCACAACCAACTGAACTAGCGGAAAATGCATCTCCTGAAACAAATGTATCAGTGTCACTTCCAGAGATTATGCACCAACATGACATAGGATTATATGTGAATAAAACTGCAACTGAAACTATTGACTTGTTTCCGGGACTTCAAAATTTGATTTGGACACCTCCGGAAAAATATAAATTTCCTGTTTCCGAAAAAAAGAAATTTAATATTTCAAAGAAGTTGGTTGCTCAAATATAAATGGTTGGCTTATTCAGCAATTATGAATGGCGTATTTTGTAAGTATTGTGTGCTGTTTTCTGTCGGAGGTGGAGGAATTGGACATCAAACGTTGGGACTGTTAGTTAAAAAACCGTTTACAAACTGGAAAAAAGCTTTAAAATCATTTAGTTACCATAACTCACTAGAGTATCATAAAACTTCATTATTAAAATCAAATATGAGAGCAGAAATTGATAACCAAAACATTTTACCTGTTGATTTACAAATTTCGGAACAACAATTAGATTTCATTAATGAAAGTAAAAAATGTTTGATTCCTATAATCGAAACATTAATATTATGTGGCCGGCAGGGTTTGGCGCTTCGTGGTTCAAATGATTCAGGGAGAATAACTTCCGAAGAACCTTTAACTAACGATGGAAATTTTCGGACTCTTTTAAGATATCGAGCAAAAACTGACGATCAGCTTAATACTTTTTTGCAAAATTTCTCAAAAAATGTCATGTATATCAGTAACCGTATACAAAATGAATTTATTGTCATCTTTCATAATTTAATTCAAAAACAAATTATTGAACGAGTCAATAAATCTCAAGCATTTTCAATAACAGCAGATGAAACTGCCGAAAATAAAGTCTCAATATGTGTAAGGTATTTAAATTATGATGACAGTAAATTAAAAATATGTGAAGATTTTTTAAGCTTTGTACCTGTAGCAGATTTAACAGGGAAAGGTTTATCAAATGTTTTGGATTTCCTTGAACAATCTGGAATTGACTGTGCTTATTTATTTGGACAAGGGTATGACGGGGCTAGGCTAGTACTATGAGTGGTGAATTTCACGGAGTTCAATCGTATATCAGAGAAAAGTACCATCTAGCACTCTACTCACACTGTGCTGCCCATAGTTTCAATTTGGCAGTTAGTGCCGCATGTAGTATCCCCCAAATTAGAAACTGTCTCGGTACAGTCCAATCTATTTACAACTTCTTCAATACACTAAAACGACAAATAGCACTTCATGATGCAATACAAAATAATGACACTTTGTTACAAGAAAAGAATAAAAAACTTAAAAAATACTGCGCAACAAGGTGGGTGCAACAGCATGAATCAGTTGGAACCTATATAGATTTACAACCAGCTATTATTGACGCTTTGGAAAACATTTCAAGTACTTGGACAGATTCAAAAACAACATCCGGATCTTTTCAACTCCTTTCAGCTATAAAAACCTTACAGTTTCAAGTATCAATTCACATTTTGCATTCAGTGCATGCATTGGCTTTATCATTAAGTAGAGTTTTACAAACAGAAAATCAAGATTTGGTTGAGGCTTTTAAGTTAGCAGATGTAGCAAAACACTAACTTGAACAAAGAAGACAATATTCTACAGATAACTTCGACAAAATTTTTGTGACTGTAGAAGATACTTGTAAAAAGTACAATATAGCTGTGACTAAACCAAGACTTGCATCACGTAAAACTAACCGTTCTAACATTACAACAGACTCTGTAGCAGATTATTATAAAATTATTATTTACATACCCTATCATGATTTATTTATCACTCATCTTGAGGATCGCTTCCTTAAACATCGGAATATTTTGGCCAACTTCTCATGCCTTTTCCTATTGAAACTAAATCTTTAGACAAAGTTGCTTGTAAAACGTTGTTTGAAACCTACAGTTCAATTTTACACGACGATTCTCCAGAAATTTGGATAAGTGAGGAAGAAATTTGGCGACGACGAATAGTTGGTAAAAATATTCGAAACGCCCTTGATGCCCTCTGTATTTGTAATACAGATGCATTTCCAAATGTTTATAAAATTTTACGTGTAATGTCAGTTTTGCCTGTAACTACAACGACTAATGAAAGGTCATTTTCAACATTACGTCGGCTGAAAACTTACCTTCGATCAACAATGGGTGAAGATCGCTTAAATGGACTGGCATCATTGAATATACATCGAGATATAAACATGGACATAAACCAAACATTGAATGAATTCTTTTCTATTCCTCGTCGAGTAAATTTATTAAAAAAATGATTTGTATTTTATAGTATTGTTAAACACACTTTAATTAACACAAAATTAATAATAAATATAAATATTTTATAATACTATTTGCTAATTATTGATGTGTCTACGTTATACATTATTTTTTCAAAACACCCATTATGAAATCCTGCGCACGGGCCTGATGGTCTCATCTAAAAATTCTTCTACATTTTTATTTTTATATTTTTTAAATTCCATGAACTTATTAACGTGTTACGTGCCACCGGCTCGATTCCAAGTAGTGCAGTCGAAGATGTATTTAAATTTTATTAATAAGATATGAGACTTTAACTTTTTACATTTATTTTAACATTCAAAGTGTTTAACAAATTTTAACATAGAGTAACGTGAAGTTGCTTGCAGTTCCGTGACTAGATCTCATCTGAATTGTGGTAATTTCGATCCCTCTTTTATATTGCTCGATTGACGTCATAGGACTTGTTATTTAGCAGTATCCAGCGATAGGCCTTGTTCTTAATATATTCTTAATATATTCTCAGAATATAGATTAACATTTGACGCACCTTCCTAATTGTCACTCGGTTTACGATTATTTACGTCAACGACTTACGACTAATTAGTTAATTACATTATTACAATATATATTTACTAATTAGTTAATTATTTAGGCCATACATGGTAGCCCATAACAAACGAATGTGATATTTTACAAAAATATTTTTCTGGTCTTGAAAATCAAAATTCACTTAATTGGGATAAACGAAAAATAATACGTTAATTTCAAGTTAATTCTTAAAGAAATGAGTTAAGTTGATAAGTTAAGTCAATTTATTAGTAATGAAATAAGTTAAATTAAAAAGTTAATTTAACTTAACTTTTAACTTATTAACTCCTAGGCTTGAAAACAAGATATACCTACAAAGTACTACAAGCTGGTATTTCAATTGATAATGTAAACTTAAAAATAACAAAATAACAAAGAAAAATATAACATTAAACAGCATTTTAATGAGACATTTTTTACTGATATTTTTTACATAATGTATTAATATGTGGTAAAATCTTCGACAAGGTTACTTTTAACACTTCTTTGACATTAATCTTTCCCTTTTCTTGTTTTTAATTTCGTTCAATTCAGAAAAAGCTATCTTGTTGAAAATGGTAATATCACGGAAAGTGCTAATTTTGTTAAACTCGTATATTCTTTTTTTGTGTAAAACATTATAGTATAGCTCATTACATTTAATTTGAACAGTGCGATCGTTTATTAACTCTGCAAGTTCTTCTTTCCCTTTTAATAAAACATGTGAGGTTTCTAAACTAGGATTAAATTGATTCCTCATCCAATCAAACATTTTAAAATTCCAGCAATGAAAAGTTATCAATTAATAAGACCCTCGGCAATTAAATAAGATTTTCTTTTTTTTTTGAGCTATCAATTGGCAATAAAAAAACTAGCTTCTTGTACCTTATTTAAAATATTCACTGATTTCACAAATTGATTTGATTGTAGTTTTTAAAAATCTTAAAGCCAACGTTTATCAATTAGAATTACGATAATGATAAAATTGATTTAATGTCAATAGCTGATAATCTATTTTTATTCATCATAGAAATTATATCTAATACCTTTTAATTTTTGTAATAAGTGTCAATAATGTAAGTACATTTTAAGTCATTTAATATTAGTACTTCCCGCGACACATTTGGACTTACCCGGCAACACACCAGTGTGTCGTGAAACACAGGTTGAGAAACACTGCAATAGTATATGGTAGTGCCTCTCAACCTAGAGGCCGTGGTTATATAATTGGTGGGCCATGAATTATTTATTTAATTTAAAGTTCTTGAAACCGAATTGAATGAAAAAAAAAATCTACATTTTAGTTAAGACAACAACATCCTGTAATTTCGAAAGCACCTTTACTTACATTAATATCTTTCACATCGACATATCTTTGTGAAACTGCATTTTCACAACTTCAAATTATAAAAAACAAACATAGATGCATTTCCCAACCGTCACATTAATAATTATAACATTTTTTTTTTATTATTATTATTATTATTATTATTATTCTAGCCTTTGTTTGAAACCAAATTATTGAATATTTTTGTATTGCTTTATAATTATTACCAATTATTTATTGTTTATATATGTTTTAAGTTTCATACAATTATAAAATTACATTTTAAAAATATATTAAAAAACATTTATTTTCTTTATATTTTAATAATTTATTTGTATGAAGTAGTTCATGTAAATTTAGTATATCATTAATAATAAATAATATAAAACAATAATAAATAACGATTTTGATTGAGGGGGTCTTGACAGTTTTACATCAAATTTAAGAGGCCTTATAAAAAAAAAAGGTTGAGAAGCATCTTTAGCCTATACGCCGATCGTGTCGTATAAATAAACTGAGTTTATGTGGAAAGCGATGACATCGACGGGGAGATATTCTTTAGGCCAGGCAGTCCGACAGACGGGGTGTTAAGGAAGTACCCTGGACTCTATAACCACTAATAATATCTCGCAGCCTATATTTGGTCAGGAAAAAAGTGTCGAGTTTAACTATCTATTATATTAAAATAATTCCCCGACCGGTGATTATCGGAAAAATTTTTAAATCGCGCGGACGCTTTTTCCTTTCTCCGTCGACCGTTTCCCGTAGACTTTTGTCTCCTCTTTCCATTTCAGCGGTCCGTTTGATTTTCCGACCCATCGTTTTCCCGATGCGACCGGATGAAAATCCAAGATGTCCGACCATTAAGCACCAGCCCAATCGGAGCGTTCTGTACCTATGCCCCTCGCGCCGCCGTGACGTTTCGCCCGCACGTGACGTCACCGATCGGTCTTCCGTCTACCTTATGTCCCCGTCGAACGGTTTAAATGCCCGAATCTTTCTCATAGATTTCAACTCGATAGGTTGTAGGCATAGGTCCCGATAGGTCCCCGTAGGTCCAGGTTCGATTCCAAGCCATCGCCGCCCAGCTTCTTTGCAGGATTTTCCGCTGCCGCCGTCGATTCGTACGGGCGTCGTTTCCGCTCCCGCGGAATCTGTTTTTTTGTTTTCCGTCCGTCGCATCCGATTTTCGCCGCCGCCGTTTGTTATCAACTACCGCCGCCGTGTCTTATCGACGGGAGTGTGTTGATCCCGCTCGCGGTTTCTTTTCTATTTATTTTCCGCCGTCCGTCAAGTCCGTTTTTTTCTTTTCGTTTC